CTCAGAATATTTAGTACAAAGGTCAGGCAAAAAGACAGAACATCACCGCTTTTATTAGCATGTCACCAATGTTTCTTTCAGGGAAAAATCCATCAAAAAAGTGGAAGATTTGATAAGCAGAAAAATTAGAAATATTAAGCTCTTGACTCTCAAGTTTTAAAGAACATGTGGTTCGACTCTTCAAATTTCTGGGGGAAATTGGATTAGACTTCAAATATCACTAATGCTGAGGGTCAGAGGAAAGCCATGATTAAGAAGTTAGGAACAGTAAAAGCTTTAGAGATCTATAAAAGTCAAGTATTTGGGTAGATGATCTATACAAGTCAAGTATTTGGGTAGATATGTACTAGTCTACAGAGCTAGAAAGATCTTCAAAATGTTAACACAGACTCAACCTAATAACAAAAACCTAACTCCACATTATGACAGAAGGTTATAATCTCTTTTGTGTTAGGTGACCATGCTAAACAAAGCAAGGCTATGAATTGTTTTTAGAAACTTATTATAGATCTCAAAACAAAGGGACATCTAGCAAACACATCGCATGGATTAGTACCCGTTTTATATCAACTGTCAAGCCAATATCTGTGTTTCCAGATCAGTAGACAGAGGATAGTCATATAAAGCCTAGGGAAAAACATTAAAACCAAAGCATTGAATAACGTTACAATGAAGTACAGGGACAGTTAAACTTAAAGCTGCACAGGTTTATGTCAGGGCTTTATTTAGGTGTATAAGATATATACATTATATATAAACAACTGTTCAGTTTACAAACTAGAGGCAATGATTATACCTAACACAGGTGATAAAGTCAACCAGTTTGATACAAATGTAGGCTGCAATCATGTACACTGACCACCAGCATATCGTCCAAAAATCTGATATGTCACCTGTTTATACAGATGAACACGTTATCTGATCTTTCAATCTGCATTTATGTTCAGTTTAAGCCTGTAGCCAGTTTTATCCTATTACCATGCGGGTGATAAAATAAAAGTGGCACACTCGCAGTCCTCAAGCAGATACCCGTAACAAATCTGCAATAACAGGTATCAACCCGTAACTGCAATTACAGGTAGCAAAATACAGATGCCGACTTTACAGCTAAATAATGTGTATTTTGTCTCCTTATGATACACATGTATGATATTAACTTCCAAGTCAGTTTGAACTAGAATTAAATATGCTGTCTAACCTATTTGAATTGTAAACACATACTGTTTTGATCCAATATTTTGTATGCAGATCATTCGTTTGAAATGTTAAAACGAGAAAAATAATTTTGTCTATAAATCATTGCCCGATATATATATCACCCAGTGTATCTGACGATGCCAGTGCTGGTGCTTGTGTCTTTAACACTATCCTAAAATCATCCCCCCTGCTATATTTTCTTTAGACTGCCAAAGTATTCTTAAGATAAGGGTTCAAATTATCATTACATAGGCCATAGTCTGTCATTTTGTTTAATATGAAACTGAATAATATCTCACATAGAAATCAGTTTGGTTTGGTTCTTTTGTGCTTTGCCTCTCCTGTTAACAGCTTTGGTCATTTAAGGAAGTGCCAGGTTTTGGGGTGAAGGAAAACCGGAGAACCTGAGGAAAAAGCATTGACCTTACAACATCTAGTACCAGGCATCTGCCCCACGTACGCAGGCCTCGTACATATCAGAATAGACTGTCAAAAGATGAACATGTTTTGTTTGACCAGAGAACTCTGTAACACTTTATTGGGCTTCACATGTCTTGCAACATGCTTGTCATGAAAAGTTAACATGCCACTGAAATGATGAGCTGGTTAACTTATAACAAAATCAGTTTGTACTCTAACCAAGCTGTAACCTTGGTGATTTTGTACACAATCCAAGAAGTGTATTATACCCAACTTCTGAACCCACCTTGGAAAAGTTGTACTATATATATCCAACTTTTGATGGAAGTGTAACCACCTTGGAAAATTTGTGCATGTCTTTCTTACAAGTATTCTATTTTTGCCATATTGATAGTATTTTTATGTCAATTTTGTATTATTTTTGTGTCATTCAGAAGTAAGTGGTTGGATGGTGCATTGGATAGCAATCTCACCTTTCCCCAAATACAAAGATTTGATTGACAGTATCAGAATTGATTGGATGTGAAAAGGTATGGGTGTCATCTTCCAAACCCATACCTGCTAAATGACCCGCATCTTGCGGGTTAGACCTGCAAAACTTACCCGCAAAATTAACATATCACCCGCGACCAACTCATTACCCGCGTGGGTCATACAAATCTCCCGCATTCCGTCAACATCACCTTGAATCACCCATCTCCTTGCTCATATTAGTATCTCCTTATTTCCGGAAATGTTCCATTCTTGTGTCTCGAAGGTTTAGCATTCAGGTTTGGATAAAGTCTGTACACAATGTTTTCACAATGGGGGTTTTGTGGAAGCCAGGCAAATTTGATAGGTGAGTGTCGTATTACAAATGTAAATAAAATCCAAATAATAAGTATGTCTGCTGTTACAATACTTTGCTGGAAAAGGATTTCAAGCGGCTTCATAAAAAATGTTGAGCTCAATCGATCATTCTTATTGTAAACTGTACTGTAATTATACTTGAATTCTTTCAGAAGGTTCTGGTGCTCTTTATGATATCAGAAGACGATGAACGATTTTCACGAAATGTGACAAAAAGGTCCCCAATGTAATACAAAAAGATGAGAAGAAATAGATAGAGAAGCTTCTTGATGAGTTCATGCTTCCATTATGCATCAATGATGAAAGATGCAAAGTTTTCTACAATTAACTCAAACTACTTGTATATATACAGGGAAATTTGTATTTTGAAAAGAGAGAATGTAATAAAACAAAATGTGTGAAAAAAAATGATTCATTCACTTCTAACTAGCTACAAGAACTACCTGGCTCCTTCGCCTGTTGTGATTGAATCTAGCTAGGACCTAATGTATCCATTTTTACTCAATCGCCCTGCATAACTTAAGGTATATCCAGAGGAGAGGCAAAGAACCAAAATATTCCAACATTGAAGAAACTCATGCAGGTTTCTGTTTATTTAGATGTCAGGTGAACTGTGATATCATTCTTTAGGATAAAATCACAAAATTGAAATATCATTGCACTTTTAAAATCATTCATGGATTGCTGAACATGTGTATGCTTACTTCAAGTGTGGTAGTTATCACGAAAATTACAATACAACTTTGACATGATCTTCAACTTCATCTTAATGAAGTACTGCAGGTCATGATCAGTTAACGGTAGAAGTAAACGAAATGTAGTAGTATATTGTCTCCTTACACTGGAATATATAACCACATTGGACTTACTGGACGGTACAGGTTTCAAGATAACTAGTCTTCTTTACATGGCGCATTGTACACTAGCTTCCTCACAATTGTGATAATTTCAAGATGTCTGTAAATCAGTACATCATAGAAAAGTTATTATATACAGCCTTGTGTAGTTCTTATTTCCCCCATTTTTCATGGTTTCAATTGAAAGATCAGTGCTGTATGACTCCACCAAAAGATGGGTTATTGGGTATGTGTCTGCCACATTTTTGGTAAAAAGGTCAACAGATATTGAGCACGGGTAAGCAAGTGTGTCTAGGTTTTGTTACAAGAACCTAAAATCCATCATCTTGACACCTCCACTAACACCATAAACGTACTATTGACGTTTAGATGTTTTGGCACCTGGTAATTTCAGTACCAAAGAATAGGAAGTTTCGGTACTGTTTAATAGGATGAAAAGTGCTGAAGAATGTAAGATATATATACCAGCAACATACAGGACACGAGAAGCAAACAAGATGAAATGCTCGTTCCTGTGCTGAAATCGTATTTTAATAATACTGAAGTGGCTGTTGGAAAGTACCAAAATTGTTTTAACATGTACCGAAACATCTCCTTACTGAAATAACCGAGTACCGAAATGTCTTCGCCCCATAATTTAATTTATCATTAACCTGATCGGTGAAATATACCATTATAGAAATCGAACATTTATTCAAATAACATAGTTTTGTCTCAGAAAGAAATCCATAATAGCTGACAGCCTGACACTAGGTCATATCATCAATGTGAAACCTACTGTACAGATTTATTATGGCGTATGTGTCATTACAAAAATATGACATAGCCTAAAATCACGATCAACTAGGTGTTTTCAATACAGTGATCCGAATTTCACCTTCAGATATCATGATCTTGCTATTAGGAAATGGATTTGAAATGGTTTTAATTCTGTAGCTCGTTTCACATGACGATCGAGGTCACCGAACACACGAGTTGTAGGCCTATATATTGTCACAACAAAGCAGAAACAAATGGAAATATTCCTCAGATTTTCACTCGATTTGTAATAAAATTCTTACCCTGGCCTTAAGGAGTTTATTCTTGAGTCTCCAAATTGCAGCGGTTAAGTTGTTACTACATCCAAACTCTATTTTAACGTTTACGAGTTGTTTCCTTGCTCAGTCGCGATTTCGGATGACCGTGAACTCACGAAGCGGAAATGTGCTCCTCCGCAATCGGCAGATCTGCTCATAAAATAGTACTCGATATTTCCAAAGATTCACCGATAAGTTGCCTATGTCTAGACACATTGTAACGCTAGTGACAAATTGTCTTATATTTTGTAAGTGAAAGTAAAAGTCACGGCAATTTTTAATTCATATGAAGTCTTTGTTTATGTCTGAGGACAAAAATTAATACGCGATCTGATTTCATGATTATTTTTGGATGTTTTGGAAACGGAGGTGTCATCGTCTATTTTCATTAATACTTTTATAATAAATGCCTTTAAATTGCTTCCGAGTTTTTATTTTCAAATGTTTATCAGCAAACACTGCATTATTAGCATGCAAATATTCTTGTTTTCCACTCAAAAGCACCTGAGAAAACCCGAAATGTATCACATCTTAAAAACGCTTTAGATTTAAGAGTTCCTCATATGAATATAAAGCACCCGAATCACGTTGATTTATAATATTTTGCACTTCCGGATTAAAAATGAGTGCAAACACACCTGAGAAGGCTTCAACAAGCTTTGATGACAGTATATCACCTTCGAAAGACCCATCAAAATCTCCTGCTAGTGAAAAGGGTGAGAGTGATCACATAAATGAACATTCTGGACATTCTGAATCGGAAAGCGATACGAGCCCTGAAAAATCCAAATCATCTCACAGCATCCCTGGTCCATCAACACACAGTGACAGTCAAAGGGAGAGAAAAACAAGTGGTTCCAGCAAAGCAGCCAGCGAATCTCCCGACAGAAAACGAAAATATGAACCAACAGAAGAAGAAATCAGAGTATATCGACACAAAAGAGAAAAACAAGAAGAAGAAAGATTGAAAATGCAGTCAGTAATATTTACAACTGTTTCCTCTGGACCCGACGACACCAGACATTTTGACAGATAAATGTCTGGTGTGGGGCCAGAGCGCACTACTATATTCTCCGACACCGTTTGGTATGGAAAAGATTTGTGAGGTGCTGACAAACAACAATCTACTATGTTACAACAGATACCTCGCATATATTGATAAATGGCTTATTTCGTCAGTAAATTCTGCCAGTAGAGTCCTCGATTTTCAATTGTTCAAAATTTCCCACATGAACGATTAAAAATAGAGGACTCTACTGATGGGATGAAGCAGATCTGTTAAAATAAGGGCAGATTTGGATCAATAGATAGCCCATTTATCAATATAATTTGTTAGGTGTGTGTTGTGTCATAGTAGATTTTCATTGTCAGCACCTCAAAAATCTCCGATACCAATCTTTGTCAGAGAATTCCACATTTTCATCAAGTATTGTGCTCTGGACCCACACCAGACATTTATCTGTCAAAATGTCTAAGTCTGGTGTCAGAGCCAGAGGAAACTTGGGCTAAAGTTAATGTATCAGTATATATCAGTATCATATCCATAGCATTCGTGCATACAAGTAGCAATATCTCACCTGTGTTGTAGAAAGGTTGCTGATACATGTATGCAAGACGTTTTACGAGTAAACACTTGCCAGATGATTTTTCATACATTTTGTTTAGAGAGTGTAATCACACAGTGAGGAATTAACCAATTTGAACATTGTTTTATCACATGCCCCTTGCTGCATTAGGTCATACCAGCACACAGATACACTGCATTATATTATGATATGATAAAATAGTTACATGTATGTATATTTAATGTATTAATAATTTTAAAAAAAACATCGAAGTTATAAAAAATAGTTAGATTTTGCAGCCTGTAGCTATAAGGGGATGAAACTGCTATAGAGGTGTAGGCCTAGACATGAATAGGCAAAAGGAGTATATATATATAGCACTAGTATTTTTTGTAGGTATTATAAAATTAAGTTATGGTGTTCTTTTTTTTTATTGGATAATTGACCATCCTGAAACAAAAGTTGAATTTAAGATAGGGGATTGATAGCAATGGAGATTAGTTGTGATATTTTATGGGGGGAAAAAGAAAATTAAAGAACTGAATCAGGGATTGAGCAGATCACGTCACCTTGAGCTAAAAAAAGAAAAGAAGTGTTTAAGCAAAACATTTGGTAATGGGTAAGATTATGATCACATGAAGTACTTGTACTGATTCCTGTTCCCCAGCATCAAAGGTTATAAATATACTGCTTTCTGCCAGTCAAATAAACTAAAAGCACAGGCAGCATTACTAACGTATTTTGACAGTGTAGGTGACTTAGGTGAGGGAATGGTACCATTATGAATGACAGTTAACAACATGGTGGAGTCGTGCCCAACCTGTTTAAAGAGTGAAAAATCAAAAAATGTTTTGAGGTCACCTTCGTCTGTTATTGAGCGAAGCTGCAACACCAAGAATTTTACAGGACATTTTCACAGTAAAAAAAAACAAATAAGTATTTTTAACCTTTTCACCCCTATGAAACTTTAGTGGACTCTGCATTGATCTGGAGGAGTCCATTTTGGTCTACAATGTTGAAAGGGTTAAATTCTGTGGTACCAAGGGAGAGGAAAAATTTGCTAAAAATTCAAAAATCTCCTCCTTCAGACCCAGATGTCCAAGATTCAAATACTTTCCAAGGATAGAAGGTCTAAGGATGCTTTATTTTAATTTTAATTTTAAGTAAGCAATGATTCACACTCATTTGGAACATTATAAATATTTTTTCATCTTTTTTCTTCAGAGTACTGGTTTCAAATTTTACCGAGGAACAACTAAACCGCTATGAGATGTATCGGAGAGCAGCATTCCCAAAAGCTGCTGTAAAGAGAGTGAGTAGCTTTCCTTTACCATTTATTTGTATTGTCTTTATTATACCCTTAGTGAAAGGGGGGGGGGGGTATATAGGAATCACCTTGTCTGTCCATCTGTGCATTGCCCTGGATTTCTTTTGTAACTTGAGACAGTGAAAGTACATCATACATATGCAGATGTGCATGAAGAAAGGAATTTGTGATTCGACTATATTTCCTGGAGTTATGGCCCTTGGAACTTTAAATTTCTGTTTCAGAAACCTTGTCAGCAAAGGGACGATCTGTGTAAGCTCACTCACAGTTTCTCTAGTTGATATTATGTAAAGATTCTGTATTGACTGCTTTGTATATCAATATTTCTCAGTGGATATATATTGTTTGCCTACACTGGCTCAAACTAATGTGGGTTGGTAGCATAGAATCACGAATGAACATCTGGGTTGCTTTAGTGTATATCTTACCTTTTATAGATATTTTAAACATTTTTGGGAAAGTTATATTTATATCAATAAAATTTATGTGTAAACAAGAGGCCCAGAAATGGAAATGTTAGCAAAATTGAAGTTGAAATAGCCAGATGTTGCTGTACATGTATTACATGGTTAGTCAGGGTTTATATTTATATGCAATTGGACAAAATCCTGTCATTCCTACAGGAAAAGGAAAAATTTGAAGAATTTGCTAAGTTTCTACTACTGGGCCCGGCCCATCTGACCCCAGACCCACCGTTTATACAATATTGGTTTCCCTTGGCACAAAGATGCTTCAGACAAAATTAAATTAGGATAAAATCCCTTAATCCCTACGATAGAAGAAGGATTTTAAAGGTTTTTCCTCTATTTCCCCTATTTGGTCCTGCCCCTCTGCCCCCAGGAGGGAGGGGGGCACACCTACTGTTTATACAAAAATAAATGCCCTTCGCCCATGAATGCTTAAGACTAAATTAGGATAAAATCCCGTTTTCTCTACAATAGAACAAGGATTTTAAAGGTTTTACGTCTATGCCCCCTCTGCCCCCAGGGGGGCACACCCACTGTTTATACAAAATTGAGTCCCCTTGGCCCAAGGATGCCCAAGACTAAATTGGGATAAAATCCCTTAATCCCTACTTTAGAAGAAGGATTTTAAAGGTTTTACCTCTTTTTCCCCTATTTGGCCCCACCCCTCTGCCCCCAGGGGGGACTAACCCACTGTTTACACAAAATTGAGTCCCCTTGGCCTATTGATGCTCCAGATCAAATTTAGTCAAAGTATACTTGTCCGTTCAGGACTAGTAGTGTTGACGGACGGACGCTACGCCATGGCATAATCGGGTAAGTGAGCTATATTTTTTTTGATATCTAACAAGGTTGGGAAATGCACTTGATCAGTCACCATTGTTCTTCATTTTCCCTATTTTATTGAATCTTTGTTGACATTCCAGCTGATGCAGTCCATCACACGGTCAGGTGTGGCCCAGAATGTTGTGATCGCCATGTCCGGTATCGCCAAGGTGTTCGTCGGAGAGGTAGTGGAGGAAGGTGAGTCGTTTATGCCATATTTAAGCATTGTTATGTATAGTAAGACACTCCCACCTTTTCCATTCCTGACAAATTATATCCATTTGCTTGTAAACTGGTGCATTGTGAAAAATTCTTGGATTTGGACTGAAAGTCTACCAGTTTCTGGCTTTTAAATCTGTTTCTGCTGCATTCACATTTGATGTGGATACCCTCTAGTAATCACAGTGTCTGTTTGTCCACACTTCAGTTTCCAATGATTATCTCAGAATCCTAAAGAAAGATCTTTCTGAAATTTGACGTGGTATCTGTAATAAGTAGTTATGCAGTAGGAAATCAAACAAGAGGCCCAGAGGGCCTGTATTGCTCACCTGAATGTGTTTAAAATAATTGGTATGAAGTAAAGAAATAGCACTCAATAGTAGGTGTTGTAGGAAAATTTCAGAAAGATCCATCCAGTCCTTGAGATATAGCGAGAACAAACTTCAAACAGAGCCCCACCCATATGCCCCTAGGGGGGTCATACCCATTGTTTATGCAAAATTAAGTCCCCTTGGCCCAATGATGCTCCAGACTAAATAAGGATAAAATCCCTTAATCCTGATGGTAGAAGAAGGATTTTAAAGGTTTTACCTCTATTTCTCCTATTGGGCCCTGCCCTTCTGCCCACTGGGAGACGACAACCACTGCTTATACAAAATTGAGTCACCTTGGCCCAAGGATGCCCCAGACTGAATTAGGATAAAATCCCTGAATCCCTATGATAGAAGAAGGATTTTAAAGGTTTTACCTCTAATTACCCTATTGGGCCCTGCCAATCTGCCGCCAGGGGGGCCACACTCACTGTTTATACAAAATTGAGTCCCTTTTGCCCAAGATCCTCCAGACCAAATTGGGAAGAAATCCCTTCATCCCTATGGTAGAAGAAGGATGTTAAAGATTTACCTCTATTTCCCCTATTGGGCCCTGTCCTTCTGCCCCCTGGGAGACCACACCCACTGCTGATAAAAAATTGAGTCCACTTGGCCATAGGATCCTCCAGACCAAATTAGGATAAAATCCCTTTATCCAGATGGTCGAAGAAGGATTTTAAAAGTTTTACCTCTATTTCCCCTATACGGCCTGCCCCTTAGGTTCCAGTTGGGCCACAACCACCGTGTATACAAAATGTGTTCCCCTTTACCCAAGGATACTCCACACAAATTATGGACCAAATCCTTTCGTTCCGACAGAATGAGAAGGATTTTAATGAATAATTTGCTATATTTCCCCTATTTGGTCCGCCCCTCAGCCCCCAGGGGGGCCAGACCCACCATTTATACACAATTGGTTCCTCTTCACCCAAGGATTCTTCAGACTAAATATGGAACAAATCCCTTCATTCCTACAGAAGAACAAGGATTTTAAAGAATTTGCTATATTTCCCCTATTGGGCCCCGCCCCTTAGCCCCCAGGGGGGCCACACCCACCATTTATACAAAATTGGTTCCCCTTCACCCAAGAATGCTTCAGACCAAATATGGAACCAATCCTTTCATTCCTTTGGGCAGGTGAGCTAAAAAATATAATGTCAAGGTCACTGTTACTAAAAGTTAATAGATCATAGTGGAGTATGGTCAGGTGAAAAGTGAGGCCTTTGCTGACATAGAGGTATCCTAGTTCATCGTACAATGATACATATATGTATGGTGCATTCGGTGTAGCGAAAAAGAATATATGTTTCATTGAAACTAAGAATCTGAAAGTAGTCAGTTTTAATTTAACTTCATTTTGTTTTACCTTACAGCACTTGATGTGATGAAACAATGGGGAGAGACAGGACCCATTCAGCCTAAACACCTCCGAGAATCTGTCCGACGCCTCAAGAGTAAAAGAACCATCCCGAACACAAAGACTAAAACTAACTTATTAAACAGTTGATGTAGTAAAACAATGCTGTTTCATTTTACTTAATGATTAAACACGACAGACGTCTCCATTCAGAGCTGCCCAACAAGATTGTGGTGTTGGGAGATGGTGTAGGATCAGTTGAGGCACTAGAGTTATGTCCCTTACCTGTACAATGTTTTAGCTGGGGCATTTCCAGTTGCACTAACTGACTGTGTTTTTAGTGGTAAAGCATATTGGACCAGTCAATATTTGATGCAGGTCTTCCAACTCATTGCTTGAGAAAGCAATGCTGCCAGAAAAATCTTCAGACCACAAGCTCCACTCTCATTTCATAAATGAACAACTTGCATCCAACCATTCAGAATATAATAAGCTAAAGTACATAGGCTGACATCATTGTATGCCATCTATGGTGCAATGCTGATTCGAAAATACTTGAAAAACATGAAATCTTAAAATTTCAGAAAAATATCATCACTCTGGTCATCCATATAGTTATACATGTACTCGAGTCTGTCAATGGTTTTGATTGTCAAGTCATTCACAATTGTATTTTCAGCCATGCTTATAATTATGTGTCACAAAACAACTTGCTGATAAGCTTATGTCTCTTTGACTGAAATTACACATGTGATGGTTGTGCAACAGAATATGCAATGATATGTTGGATTTTCAATGTCATCTGATTTGAAATATTTCATTGAAAATAAATTTATTTCATTGACTGCACACAGAGTTATGCTTCTGTTATTTTTACATCAGGTAATGATCAAGCAACATTTTATTTGAAGTCTTTTTCAACTTCAACTGAATTTTAGATAATCCCGGAATAAAAATTGAGCACATATTTGTAAGAAGTTTTATCATCAAGCATTTCTTCAGGAGTTATCCATGGAAACCAGTTAAATTACCAAAATCTAAGATGGCCACAGACAGCCATATTGAATTTCAGATCCAGATCAAAAGTGAACTTGAGCAGTTGAATGATATCATTTGATGATGCAGATAAAAACAAAATGTTGTATGAATGAAAGTATCCATTTGTATGCCTAACACACAAGTGGATGCGTAAATCCACCCTATCAACAAGAGTTATCTGTGATGCCAGATATTGCTTTTATTACATACCTAATGTTCTTAAAATTTTTCATTAAACTTCAATTCTGAAAACAACCCAATAGAGGCAACACAGTGTAAAGGACAGAATACTGTTATGTTACAAAAGAGTTGAAGGTTATTAAAATGGTCATAAACCTGCTCTTGTCTAAATTCTTTGGTTTCATCGGTGGATTACAATCTGATGAACTTGAGTCATAAAGGAGTTTAGGATCGGCTCAGTGTAACAACATCAATTCACATGTGATACAGGTTCAAGCATGCTTAAACATGAATTACTATTGCAAGATTAAATGGGCAAGTAACTACAATTTTGCTCCAAAAATTGGGTTATTAATTTGAATTTACGACTTTTATCAACAAGAGTACCGCAGGGCGGAACAAAATATGACTGTCTAATGTCATATAGTGTTATATACTTTCTTACATTGAAATAAGATCTGCATCATTCTAAGAGTGGTTAGCTGATGTGCTATAAAAAATGTAGGAGAAAATCTTCGAACAAAAAATGGGCAATAGCTTTTGGAAAAATTATTGAATCAAAATTCTTTTAAGGTAGTCACAACTTCATATCATGATTATAATGTATACCAAGTTTCAAAGAGATCGGTTGAAAACGTAGGAGATCTACAGACAAAAATCAAATACTGAAATGAACAAAGGGCAATAACTTTTGGAAAAATTGTCGAATCAAAATTCTTTTAAGGGAGACACAACTTCATATCATGATTATAATGTATACCAAGTTTCAAAGAGATCGGTTGAAAACGTAGGAGATCTACAGACAAAAATCAAATACTGAAATGAACAAAGGGCAATATCTTTTGGAAAAATTGTCGAATCAAAATTCTTTTAAGAGAGACACAACTTCATATCATGATTATAATGTATACCAAGTTTCAAAGAGATCAGTTGAAAGCGTAGGAGGAGATCTCCGGACAAAAATCAAATACTGAAATGAACAAAGGGCAATATATTTTGGAAATTGTCGAATCAAAATTCTTTTAATAGAGACACAACTTTATATCATGATTATAATGTATACCAAGTTTCAAAAAGATCGGTTGAAAAATGAAGGAGGAGAACTCCGGACAAAATTCAAATACTAGATGAACAAAGGGCAATAACTTTTGGAAAAATTGTCGAATCAATTTTTTTTTAAGGGAGACACAACTTCATATCGTGATTATAATGTAAACCAAGTTTCAAATAGTAGATCGGTCGAAAAATGTAGGTGGAGATTGCCAGACAAACAGTTTACTCCGGACGGACGGACAACGCCATACCATAATACTACCGTCAAATTTGACGGTCGTATAAAAACCATATAAAAAGACAAAATACTATATAAAGTATGATCATATTAATATGATCAGTTTATTAATAAAACAATATGATTTTCTATAATGACAAGTTATTTCCTGTTCTAATTTCCAGTAACAACAAAGTTTTATTAAAATACTAAAGGAATGTTGAAAATTGTATCTTAAAAGGATTATCTACTCCATATTAACGCACTATACTTCTTTTTCACACAACCACAAATACTGATATAAATTGCTCTTCGGACCTGAAATGAAACTGACATTTTCAAGCAACATTATGCAACTTTTTCAAACAAATTCACCATGCGAAAAGAAAAGATAGCATTCTAAAATATCTCCAAGAAACATCTTGGATGACTGAATTGAAAATTCCTTTGGAGTGTTTTAACATTATGAGTAACATCTAGTGTATGTGGGTGATTGTATTCTGAGTAATGTAAGAACACTGTATAAAACTGGAAAAAAGTGAAATATGAACTACAGAGAAAGTTAAGTTAAAAAGGTTTGTCCGTATTTTAATTCCAACTGTATTACTGGTTATGCCAGACTGATTTTTGATGTTCCTGGCTTTGAAATATCTAATCATGGACCAAAGTTTTTCTTTTAATATATATCTAGAGTATTATTTAACAAATAAATAACATTTAGTTTTCTACAGTAACATATATGATCTTGTTATCAGATCTACTCTCATGAATTGTATTCCAATGGTTATTTAAAGTGTAAATAGTACACCAGGGTATAATGTACAAATCATACACCATTATACAATGTATATTTAGTACAAATTTATACAATGTACAAAAAGTACACATTTATACAATGTACAAAAAGTACTCATTTATACAAAGTATATTTCATACAACATTAAACAGTGTATACATGTTTTTAATTCACAATTATACCATGTACAAATAGTACACAATTATACAATGTACAAATAGTACACAATTATACAATATGTATACAGGTTACATTTCACTGACAACTTGTTTTCTTTTAATTGGATTTGGAAACTTAAGATATTTTTAGCACATTATGTAACTTAGATACACAAAATCACGACCAGTTGGTTGGACTCTTCTGTTGAATTGTTCTTCCCTTAAAAATCTTTCGATCAATCTAAGAAAAACCACAATATACACATGAATTCCACAGGTGATAATACAACACATGAAAACACAAATTTGAACATTTGTTACAAGGAGCATTTGTACACCCAACTTTGAATTACTGATGATATGTGTGACATTCATGTGCTCAGGGAGTTTATGAAGATAGAACAAATAGCAGAACTTGTAAATTTAAGATACTTGTTTTGAAAATTGTGCAATATGTGATCATTACAGCAATAAATTCATATATTTATGTACAGATAGTTTACTTTAATCAAGAAATATATAAATCTTCATCCTATAATCCTATTACAAGTGTAATAATCCTTCTAATAATTATTAAAATCACAGTCTTAAACATATTAATATTTAACTATACAACATCTAAAATCTGTGTAGCCATGATGCAATGACCAATTATTAAGTTGGGCACCAAGGAAGGAGTCTCTTAAACCTAGTCTATGACCATACACAGTACCGGTAAGTTGCCAGCAACCAATGATTAAGGTACTTTTTTTTAGTTTACTTTTTAACATCGCCGTACTAGCATTTGCAAATAAAATCAATATAAAAACAGTGTACAAACCAGCAAATGGAACAAATACAGATGTGCAGATATTTTTTTTTTAAACTGGTCTAATTTCTAGTTTATATTGATATAAATGAAAAAGTGCTGGGCATATGGAAGAGTAGTAATTTCTGAAGATTTCTGCATTTCAACATAAATAGTGGCCAACAATGATTCGGCCTGCTAGGTTTTATATTAATACGTTAACAGAGAAGCTAAATTTGTGCTATTCCTTGCCTTGGTGTCCTGGGATAAAATTATAATGATGCTGAAACCTGACTTTACCAACGGAATTAAACCAGGACTTATTCGATATCAAGGTGGTCAGGATAAGATAGTTTGTGAAACCTGGTATTAAATTGTATCCTTTAACCCTTTCACCACTGTAGACCATATTAGACTCATCCAGATCTATGCATAGTAGCTATATAGTCTACTAAAGTTACATAGGGGTGAAAGGGTTAAGGCAGGTGTTGGTGTAGTCAGGTTTCACTCTACATAAATGTATGGTGTACGCAATAAATAATCAATCGGACATGCAGACTAGCATCAAAAGGGACACACAAATATCCACAAGTTTGTGTAGCGTCACAAACAAAATCAAGTCAAGACTCAATCTTGACTATTTACATTTTCATTTCACAGATTTTTTATTTTCATTTAACAGGTTCCTGAACTCAGACAAATAAAATCCATGGTATAAATTATGAACCCTGAGAAATCCATAGACTTAACCCCATTGTATTAAGATGCATAAAGGACCTGTATACTGAGAGATTAGAAAACCACAGAGCACAGAACACCACCTGTATGAACCAAACATGTATTTCCATATAAATTTTTAATGCACTGTCATAAAGTAGTGCTGTTAAAACAGCCAGATAGGAATAGATTGATCAGAAGGAGGTGTTTTTTAAATATGGTTAAATCACTTAAACTTTAAGAATCAAATAATAGGAGTTCGACACAAATTGACTTGGGACAATACAATTCTACATCATAAGGATTTCAATGTTCATTTTTCTCTCTTTCATACACATTCATAAACTAGTACATATAAATAGTATAACATCCATCGAATTCTGTGTCAATCACAACATGGACAAAAACGTGTTTGTATTCTTCAGCACACCAGAACATGTACAAAGTCATTAAATTCTCACTCACTGAAACTTGGCCAAAACAGTTTCTTAATGAGTACCATAAATTCAAATGATCACTCTCCATTAATAATTTAATCATGATCTTCATTTTAAAAGAAACAATTTTTCACTCCACAATGAAATATCAACATAGGATAAAAACAGATTCTTGATATTAATGGTACATGCACCTTATCAGTTTGAAAGTTTTTCTATTTTCTATTTTGCAATCTGAGAATATGACGTAAATGTGATCTTGCACTTAACAACAAACACATCCATTCATCGTCACTAGCACAATGATAAATAAGGGAAATGATATCCAAGACAATATGAAACGTAAGTTTTGTTGATTGAGTACACCAGAACCAAACCGGAGGTCAGTCAGCTAGAGATTGCACATTAGTTGATATTGCCCAAGCGGCCTCCACTTCCATCACTCAAGTTTGTACCAGATTACTTCCCCTTGCTTTTGGAACTCCCCTCCACCTCAGTATGCAGTTCTACTTGTCACATTGATGGCCTCGGAGACTCTGGAATGAAAAAGTTAATGTAGTATTAATAACATCCAAAATTCCTTTCTCTTCTGAAGTTACTGGTTCAATCAAGATTTTAAGTGAAACACAGAAGGAACACTACTAACATAAATTGTTATTTATTATAGAAATACCGAAAACATACATATTTTAATGGTAATCTTACTTTTGTCTGGTTCACTGTGTGTTTATTGTACCATGCTTAAGTATTAAACAAATATTTATTTGAAGTAAAATAAGCACTGCTGGTGTAGAACGATCATGTCAAGCTCAAGAAACTGAAGGAGTTTTATTATAGTCCCTGTACAACATGTGGCCCTGTTATATATAGGCAAACGTGTGGAATACAGTACAATGCAGGTAAAACAAAGTTTTCATAACTTTTACAGAATTTTAACTGTAAAATTCAACAGTGATGTAGTTGTGCAGTAAGTACATAACACTGTCTTATACTAATACCATTAATAAAATATCTATACTTATCTATATTTATCGTAACTGTACCGTAAATTGAAGTCCTTATTTCAAATTCAACACACTGTAATAAAATTCAAAATCTATCTTAATCTTGAAAATAAACTATATTTATCATTTAAAACTTTACGATCACTACAGTTAGACTGATCACAGGTAAGATAGTATCAGTGAATGGATATATACATATGTATGTAAGAACACAAAAAAGAATTATGGTTTATATGTTGTACATATATATTTTTCTGTATGGTTGTATTTCATGTACATGTACATGTACATGTCAGATAATGACACTATTTAAAAGAGACAAGCTATTTTATAATTATTTTTAGGCTACTTGAAACAGAAGTAAGATCCTCCGTTATCATCACATCTTTTAGTCAAATTAAGCTTCTCTGTATACGATAGTACGGATACTAGATATATGGATATCCTACACCCAGGGATATATTTTTCCATGCCTGCGTAACGATCAACTTATTTGTATCCCACCTCTCATCAGGACTTTTGGTGAAATTGCACGGTGAATAAGTGACTTAATGCAACAAGAGTTAAAGCAGCTTTTCCTGATGTAAAAATAAACCAAGAATCTATTCAGAAAGATCAGAATTAGGTTGTCAGAAATTTTAAAATGCCTCTAAAAGCTACAGAGCATGCTTGTTTAATTAACAGTTAATTACTGTTAGGCAATGTTGATTCCCGACTGTTTTGGCAGCAGTTTTTTTTACACATGTCAAACTAACAATTCCTTTTTTCACATATCTGGCTAAGCTAAAGACGCATTTCAGTACCGTGTTCGTCATATATTAAACATAGTCATCTACAACACAACCAATATGTTTTTATTCACTTCCTAGTCAGGATTTAGACAAATATAGTTCTTGGATTAAATTACATCTGTGTTATTCATACTTGTCCTTCAAAGCTATTCCGTACAAGGTAAAAGTTTCTTGTATATGTAGAGGTGGGAGAAAATAATTTATACTTACTGGTTTAAAGATAGGCAGCATCATATTTTACAGACGATTACAAATTTACACTCGTCAGCTATAAAGATGACCCTGACACTTTCAAACTATTTTCACAAGAAGCTTTTTCCAGAAAGGTCATTATGTTAAAGATTTTATGAGATACACTGAATACTTTACTATAAATATAGTTCATGTAGGGGGGTGTAGAAGGAAACTGAAGTACCAGCAGAAAACCTACACAGCAGGGCAGGTAACCCCATACCTTTACACATCCGACAGGGGAATGGAACCCTAGCTATTATCTTGGTGAAAGGAGAGTAGTGTGCTATCCACTGCACCACCCGACCATCCAAACCATACTATAGAATTGTACATTCTTGGATGGTATTGTGCATGCAACTGCGGGTGATTCTGTGAGAGATTTTATTAAATTATTTATCAAATACAGGTCAACTCACTGGTATTTGTGCTATACTTGTATATATGAAGCGAAAATTATCATTTCAAGTATACGTAAAGCTAGATATATCTAAGAACATTGAACAGAAAAAATAGTCCAAGCCATTTAACCAACCATCACCAGTCTAGCTGTCTCACTAACTAGCAAGTGATTTGTGGAAAAGTTTTCCCATTTTCTACATAGAAGTGGCCCAGTTACACATCATTTCCCTATCCAGCAGCTCTTTCCTGGAAACAAAGGCTGGGTAAACAAGTCTCTGGTGTATATATATGATTACATTGATCTAGCAAACCCTGATCTAAGATGTGTTGTCTATGTTTGTAAGTATAGATCTATTCTGTCTTTCATATTGCAGAGTTATCTGCTCTTGTGAGTAGGCATTGATTGTTACGTCATTGGTTGTGAGAGTAACGTCATAAATTTTTCAGAAAACGACACAATTTTCTCACACAAACTAATGACGTAACAATCAAAACCTGCTCACAAGAGCAGATAACTCTGCAATACGAAAAGACAGAATATAGTGCATTAGATTAGCTGGTGTTGAGGAGTGGTAAGGGAAATAACTCTGCATATCTACTTTGCATGCATTGTTTCATCTAGCCTAGAATTATAATGCAACCAATGTAAAATGGTACAAAATGGCCTTTAAAACCCTTACACATTTTTCATATTATTTATACAATCAAATCCTATTTAAACATACTACATGTATTGACAAAATTATTTTTACATGTATCGGTATTGCAATTCAGACAAGTCTTTGAAATATTTACGAGTAATGTATTTCCTTGAAATATATTCCAAATTTGTACACCTACAAAATTGCATATACTATATAAATCTGTAGGTGTTAGATATCATGTGTACTTACCTAGCCTTATGTTACATTTATTTAACAGTTGGTTTCAATAGAAATTGAGAAATATTTCTGTGCAGTGTGGAAAATCAGTCAAGCATAGAGATGTTTTAACATTTACAAAATCTACCGATACCTTTGATACAATTCATCCTGGCTGCGTATTAGCTATGAAAGCAAGGGGAGATAACTGTGAAATATTGACTGGCTCGTCCGTTACCTTACTCGTTCTCTTCATCGTCTGTCGAGTCATGCGTGTTCTTCAATATTTCCCGAGGCCTATACATATTGATAGTGTTCAGATTCAAAAAAAACACATGTCACTTGAAATAGTAGGTGTTGGGATATTTATCAAAACAATGTCTTGATCTTCTTTCAATTCATGATGTTTCAAACAATGTTTATGTGGATGTAAATTTTGAGAGAGAACAAACAATGTCATGCTATGCATCCACATCTTCCCTCCTATTCTGCTGTTTAAATGCATCCATGCAGACCTTTACAGACCATTTCAAAGCAGAATGATAGCATCAGCGCAACTTCATTCCCCAGGAGGAAAACTTCATCAAAATAACATAGATCTATGAAAAAAAAATCGGTAATATCAAACAGTCAGTTTTACTGAGATTTCAAAAGAGCGTTGTGGTCAGAAATTATAACAGTGTTCATATTATCCTCAGACATATAAGACCTATAAAATGGACACAATACATAAGACATCGACCGGACCTGGCTCATATTCTGTAAAAAAAGTGATTGCCCGTAATAATGTTCTCACTAAGTTTTGAAATAGATTTCTGACTTGGAAAGAATTGCCAGTTGAACGTTCACATGCTACAATGTTGACCTACATGTTCTGAGAGAAATGGACTGTTCGTCCTACTTTCGCCGGCAACCCGCTTTAAATGAGAACACTTATTATTTAACTTGTCTAACTAGGTGCTGTGCTGCCTATCATGTGTATAAGTCAAGTCTTGATTAGTGTCGACCCACAATAACTGACTACCGCTATAAATTAAGCCTGAAGAAGGTATGTGGGATGGATGTCATAACTTCCTTCCATCTATGTGTACAATTCTAAAATTTATTCATAATACTTTTAAAACCCTAACATTTTGATTTACTGTCCAAACAAATGTAACATTTTCCAGAGCTTCAACGATTTAATTCTTATAGGAAACCATCAGAAATTTCTTCCCGTTTTAATTTTGAAGTAGAGAAAACCTCATGCAAGTATAACCACAGTAAAAACACTTTAAACTTACTGTTGTGAACTCTGTAGACAATACTAAATACATGATACATTGTCAGGTGTTTGTATTATAGTGTTCATAGATAAAAATTCCATAGCTTCAAATGAGTCAAGTTCTATTTTCATGTCTTTCTGAAATGTATCAGCTTATTTGTGTTGCGTTGAATTCTGATATGGTGAGGTAATTTATATATCAAGATTGATTGACGTCGCCTGTTAATTGTTTGTATCTCATATATACTAATAAACAGTTGGCATCACCCATGGTAACGTAATATTGGTAACAAAACGAGATCAAAATACTACGTCTTGCTCCAGCATGTGTCGCAACAAATCATCAGGTTTGCAGGTTTCTCTAACAGTGAAAATTACAAAAATACACGATGCAGTGAAAATAACAAAAAATATCAGTCTCACGTGTCATGGAATCATGTTTTATGTGCAGTACATTCATGCATATTGATTTTTATTATGTATAAATTTACAATGGGATTTTACTAACAAACTAAATAATCTTGACTTTAAAGAAAATAACATGATGTTGCTTCATGTTAGGTGGCTATAAATGTGCTATAGGGGATTGTTTACATATATATAATATAGATGATGGGTGTCGATCAGGGAATTTCTTGTGCATGGGTTTAATTAATAAATGTAACATTGGTAATAGCAATATATGTTTTTGGTGTTCATTACAGCATGGATACACATGATCATTTGACTTACAAATATTCACTTTCTGTGTGTACACTGTTTTCTTCACCTCCGTAAATACTAAATCAGATACGGAGAGTAAGAAGAAAAGGCAACAATAGTGGACATATACAAATGTAATGAGTTTTTTTTGTACTGTGAAAATGATGTGAACACAAAATTTCTTTATTATTTTCTGTACCTATTATGAATCAAATTTCAAAAAAGAAAAGAAAAAGATATGAAAAGAAACATCTGACTCTCCTGAAGAATTTGTAAGGAATTCAGTTTCTTTACCATAACATGAAAGTGACTTATATCAAAGGACAGACAGAGAAAATATTTGTAAGCACTACCACATTTTATGTGCAGAAAATGTACTACACTCAATCAAACCCAAAAGTACTACTGTATATCTATACTATAACCGTCAGAATCAAAGTCATGGGAATGTGTGATATAATTTTTAGTAGTTGGTCATGATCAACTTAAAGACAATTACATAGCAAAATGAAAACAAACACAGCATTCAAAGTGGTTCTAAAACAAAACCACACCAACCAAGTGTATCGATGATTTAAGGGTTTAAGAGCACAAAAACAATTCTAATGTCTTTTCAAATCTAGTAAAAAATGTACAGTGTGGACTGGAAACAAGCTCTAAAATCTGTATTTAACTTACTAGTGATCCTACTTTATATAAACACTGTTGGTTATTTGATGTGCTTTTACAAAATGGAATAGACCAAATATTAATACTGTTATTTGTATCTAGTGCATTCTCTATCTACTCATATTTAATGTGACATTGTGCATTCCCATTTTTTTAATTCAAACCTAGAAATATATAAAAGAAGGTTTTCCTAAGAGGATTTATAACTTACTTCTTGCCGTATTTAATGTGAATGATGAGGAAGATCACTCCGAGGAGTATACAGATACTCCCCACCACGATGTACGCGATACCCAGGAATGGGTTCTTCCCTCCTAACCAGGATGTCGTTGAGATGATGAACTGCTTTGTGCCATCAAAGGAAATCACTGGGTAGGCTGAAAAAAGAAAATCACAAAATTCAATGTCAAACCAAATTACTTTTTTTTCCTTTTTTAGCATAAGTTTTGGATATGAATATTTGTGCAAACAATTTTAATTTTTTTTGGAACAACTGAATTTTAATGAAATTTCCTTTCATAGGAACAATGTAACCTGCTTTATCTGGACTTTTCTTATACAACAAAATTCAAAAGTCATTAACATGACTTGTACTTTTCAACCTTTTTTCACAAACTCAATTAAAGACTTACAGTCTCATATTACCGGTATGTGAATATTGGTAATAAATCAAAACACATTTTTTCAACGTTTGAGACTTAAAGTAGTGCAGTTAGCATTTAAATCTACGTAATTCAATATCTTACCCACAAAAATTCAATGTCTTACCCACAAATTCAATGTCTTACCCACAAATTCAATGTCTAACCCACAAATTCAATGTCTTACCATCAAATTCAATGCATATCTTTGTAAACATGTTTAAAGAAACAAGTTTTTACAACTTATATTAATCAATCTTGTAATGTTGGTCGATGTTAGCACAGGGGTCTCAATGTAGGAGAAAACCGTAGTACCCAGACAAAACCCAGGTGGTCGGGCGTGTGACCCCACACCAGATACGTAAACATGTGCATTTCTATCAAAGATCATATAAAGTAGTAAGTTTTTTTATGAAACAAAAGATTTTAATGTATATTTACTTAAGTGTTAGAACAGCAACCAAATGGCAGTTACCAACTAGCTTTCTGTACTCAGCTCAACAATGATGTCTGGGACTGACACAGTAACTCAACAATGATGTCTGGGACTGACACAGTAACTCACCAATGATGTCTGGGACTGAGTAAGTAACTCAATACTTAGAGTTAAATGGACCAATAAGACTTATTTCCAATAATACTATTTCGTCACTTACATTTTAAATGACATTTATTGACAAATTTCAGACACAAGATTAAAGATCCTCTACCTCAGACTCAAGCATTAGATATAAAGATAATTTGGATAATACATAAATGTTCATATATCTAGTATATAGCAACTCAAATTATCATGCTGCAAATCAGAATTTTGTCAATGTCTGTTTAATGCATTTTTGAAACTGTTCAAAACAATTCATGCAGTTTTGATTTTTTTTTGCGTATTTCGGCTGTTTCTTCTCATCAAATGTTCTGTCTAACTATACATGTTGTTTAACAATAGCATCCCATACCGTAGTCAATGTTGATGGTGTAATTGCCCATTGGCAGAGATTCCAAGAACGTGCCCTGATGACTGATCCTGCGATGGAGCTTGCGGAAGGTGGGGAGAGCTGCAGTCCTCATCCACACGATGAGGTCCTCGTTGACATAGCCGTTATTGTCACTGTTGTTGATGTCAAGTGTCCAGGCAGACTTGTTTGGCCAGCTAGGTGGATTGGTGAAACCACTCCAGCCTGACAAAAGAGTTAGGAAGGGTACATATGTAAAGTTAATGCAATTCACGCCTACATCTATTATAACCTAATTTTTTAACTTTCAGTTATACTTATGGGTTTCACTTTTACAAATGATTGTGTTAGGTCATGATTTAACAGTTTTTCCTATTCAATGTTCTTGTTAATTTTCAAATCGCTAGGTCATATTATTTTAATAAGACAACATGTACATTTTTGTATTCCATTTTACAGCATGGTGATTGTTAGACTGGCCCCCATTTTAAGTTTTCTCTATAAATTAAAGATTCTAGAGATGGGGCCAGTTTAAAAATGTGTTTGCTGTTAGAAAACTTGAATATGAATGATGACTTATTATAACAAAACAAACTAATTTAGCTCTGGAAAGCAACAGCAATAAATCATAATAAGAATAACATCACAGCGTGAATTTAAAATAGAAATATGCAGATCCTGAAAATTGACAAACTTATGCATCAATTATAACAACTACACAGTAGGTTTCCAATTTTCCTAGAGTACAAAAAAATAATATTACCACTGCCTTGTTGTGCATAACTTACTAGCAGGATTATTGAACTTGTCCTTCTTGTCGGAGAGCCATGCTATGCCAGTGTTAAGTAGTGTGACAGACTCCGTACTCGATCCACCATTGTAAGTCAGTGTAAATGTATCTGTAAAGTAGGAACATATTCATTTATCAAATAATTTTACCAAAAAATAGCAACAAAACAAAGCTTCTCTGAATTGAATATATTGTACTGAATCTATCACATAATAATGGGAGTAAATTTTTCAATATAAAACTGTAGAAATAAAAGTCTTTCTACTTCTAGTACATTTTTTTTTCAAAATTGGCTGCAGGCTACTACTTTAGATATGCAATTGTATGCCCCTGACGGGATGTACATGTAATTGTATGCCAACAAACGCATCATAATTTATACAATCGAACACATTTTATCACAAGCAAGATTTTCAGTTAGTATTAAAGGAAAAAAAACTTTTAGCTAGTAACCCTATTAAATATTTTTTGTTTGGTATTGTTTTATGGTCCATCGTTAATTTATGTAATTTTTGCCAAGAAATTAACTGAATTAGTTATCCGCAAAAATAACTTTATTAACAAGGATTTGTATAGGAAAAATAGAGAAATATACCATTGTATCAACAAACAACAAATCATAAAGACAAGAATATTAAACGAGCTGACAGCAAAATAAAAAGAGAGACATCATGAATCCCAGACAAAACAGTGGGGAAGTTACCATTGAACAGGCTGTTGGCGATGGCTCCACAGGGTGCTATAGGTAAGGTCAGGGTGGAGTTGAAGGGCTTGGTAAGGTAGGGTTCGCAGTCAGACAACAGTGAGGTGGAGCTGACAACATCTCCGTGTATCTGGTTGTCATCACGAGACCGCACGTACCGTCTGTGATTCTGGTAGTAGTTGGACAAGCCGTAGTACAAGTACACATCTTTCTGTGAGGTGAAACAAAGTGAGAGTTAGACAGCCTTATCTTCACTAGTGGTCACACAGATTGTACAAAAGTCTGGCTATGGGCAGTTTTTGTAGGATTTGTTCATGTTATGCCAGCAGTCTTTTAACATCATATTTAAAATGTTGATGAGTCTCACATCCTAACAGATAGTGGGTTCTAAAAATGTGAGCGAATCCCACAGGAAAAGCATGTGTTCTGGATTAAAATATCTGTGTCTCTGTATGGATATGATTTCAGGTACACAGCAACATGAACTTGTACTTCTAGGTAAAACAAATACAAGAAATGGTAGTCTGAGTTTTCCTATTTGTCATTTACTTGGAACTGGCATAGCTCATGCTTTCATGGTTAACACTTGTGTGTAAGCTAGGACACTTAAAAACAGCATGACAATTCAATATTGTTCAAACTGTATATATAAATTCTTAAAACTAGGTCTTAATTCTCTGCATTAAACACATTTTCTGGCAAAGAATATCTCAGATTAAGATGAAGAACAGGAGAACATTTGTTGATAATTGTTTTACTTTGAGTGTATGTTTACCAATGAAACCATATTAAATGACAAAACAGGAAATCAAAACTCATAGCTAGTGGATTGTTAAGACTTTCACTGTGATGATCAGACTGTCTATCATCACATAGACAAACATTATGCGTGTCCATTATTTTTATAAAAGCTAGTTGCCGACATAAACATCATCATCATTCAGTCGGCTATTTTAAGAGTAAACACAGTATGAAGAAGCAAATATATATCTATATCTTTATCAGTGACAGCACAAGTCTTTTCAAAAGACAGGTTTCAAGTCAATGGTCAATTCGTTTACACTTAGGAATATGCAAGAAATCTGCAAAATAGACGGGTTTCCTTTAAAAAAAATAAGGCTTATTTTCATATAAAAATGGAGTTAACTCAGTGTACATGGTGTCTTTTCAGGGAGTGACTACTAAACAAAAGAGGTGGTCCCACAACAATAGTAGTTTCTGTTTTTCTGTCCAAATCAGTACAGTTTGTTGATTAGTCACTCCCATAACCTACAAAATGGCGTTCACTCAGGTGGGATTTGAACAATTGAAAACCAAGGACTCTACTGACAGAATGTAGTAACTGTTGGTGATAATAAGGGCATATTCGGATCAATAAATAATCAATTTATCGATATATGTTGCGTCATAGCAGATTCTTGTTGTCGGCACCTCAAAACTCTCCAGCACAGTGTCGGAGAATTCCGTATTTTCATATATAAGTGTGCTCTGGCCCCACTCCAGACATCTATCTACTATATGTGTACACCAGGTACAAGTCTAAATAGAGTCAACATTTCCCATCCAGAATGGTAAATACCATGATACCATGGCCTAGCTACATCTGTACCAGTATTTGCTGTTGATAACATACCTCAAAATTCTCCGGTAGTGTAAATGTTATGACACAGCTACATACAAATCCAGAGTTGTTTGTACCAATGGCAGCCAGTTGAGATGCACAGGTATCCCCCGCAGATGATGTACATTGGGTATAGTCATAGGAAAACTCCTTCACCTGGAAAAAGTATTAACAAAGTGCAAAACAGATTGAAAACAAAAAATCTTAACTATATTTATTTTACAACAATTATGAAACAAGTTTTTACAACTTTACTTATACCAATCGCTTTTGTTGGCCCAGATTTTAGCATGAGGGGATCTTAATGTGGGAGGAAACCGGAGTACCTCAATACGAAAAGATAATGAAATAAGCATTAACCCTCCAGATTCTTGAGAAAATGCCTTCACAAATTAACAAGAGGTCCAAAGGGGCTGTATTGTTCACCTGGATCTTTATGTCCAGCAATAGTATATCTGGGTGTTGATTGGGGATCTTAACTGTTTTAAAGTTTTGTTACAGAAATTAAGTCCATAGGGGTTGGGCCCAACCGTACAGTCATTTCCGATATCATGACTGTATTAATCTCTGTATGCCTAGCACTTAAATACAGGTATGACGATAATTTGGTATGGATCTCCACCGTTTTGAAGTTATGCGAATGTCCCAGAAAAAAATAGTCCCAAGGAGGTAGTGTCATATCACAGGGTCAATTCTTATTGACTGTGTTTATCTCTCAATTTAATGTTCATCATTTGTATCTTCATATAAGAATTCTATACTCACTGAATTGGAGGTGATGAGCAGAGCAATGCCAAGGGGAATGAATGCAATTCCGATGGCAAAGAAGGCTGGCAGTACTGTTCCCGCTGTAAGGATGGGCTGCCATGCAGGTAACTTCTGCTGCTTAAATTTTGTTTCTGAAAATAAATCCAACATATATACACACACTGAAAACTGATCTTACTCACACACTCTATAAGAAAACCCTAATTACTTACTTATGGTAATGTATGGGATATATATGTGCAAAGTAGATTTGATTGGCATTCAGTTAATGTATGGCATTATGTCTATTAAATATGTTTCGTCATTCGATGTAGTGAAACAATCTCCAATTATCAACGTGAAAGTTTTCTTCTTCTTGGCATTTCTGAATACCACCTCTGGTGTATACTATCGGTCACCCTAATGAGTGTCCTCCGGGTAATGAGTGTCCTCCGAGTGTCCTCCGAGGTTTTTGCGCGCCCGCGAGTTCGTTATAAGATTTATTTCACTTTTTTCTTCTGATTCCTAGATATTGTTTATATATCTAGGTGTGTGCAAAATTTAAGGTAGATCGTAACAGTACAAAGTACCGAAATACGTCGATAAAAATGCATATTTGGGAAGAATGAGTGTCCTCGGAGGTTTTTGCGCGCCCGCGAATTCGTTATAAGATTTTTTGCACTTTTTTCTTCTGATTCCTAAATATTGTTCATATATCTAGGTGTGTGCAAAGTTTAAGTGCGATCGGAACAGTATAAAGTACCGAAATACGTCGGTAAATACTATTTTCACGAGGTTGGATTGAGTGTCCACGGAGGAATGAGTGTCCAGGTAAGTGTTCGCGAGCCCGAGAATTCGTTAATCCATTTATTTTACTTCTGTCTTCGGATTCATAAATATTTTTAACTTACCTAAGTGTGTGCAAAATATCAGGTTGACCATAACAGTATAAAGTACCGAAATACGTCGATAAATACTATTTTCACGAGGGTGGATTGAGTGTCCACGGAGGAATGAGTGTCCAGGGAGGTGTTCGCGCGCCCGGGAATTCGTTAATCGATATTTTTTACATCTGTCTTCGGATTCATAAATATGTTCAACTTACCTAACTTTGTGCAAAATGTCAGGTCGATCATAACAGTAGAATGTATCGAAATTTATCGTTAATTATATGCCTACGATAACAGCTAAGAGTTGTACATGTAGTTATATACGAGTTACTTCCCTTCCAAAGCATTCTCTGCCTATTTTGATAGCCGTTACTAAAGGTATTTAATTTTGTAATACTTGTTAATTTCGTGATATATTTATATTCATAGTACTTACGACAATGTGTAATAAAATGTCTGTTGCTGTATAATACACATACGACCATCAACGTATATTGTTTGGTTTCAACAAATGTTATTGTGTTAACAAAAGGAATGATGTAACGTCAGATGTTGACCCACATACGAAAAGTCGCGGATTTTGCTACATCAGCGCTATATAAAATCTGAATAATTATCAAATATATATGTTATTATATACCATCTTATTCAGATTTTGTTTATCTACCTGAATATTTCAGTAGAATATATAAAAGTTTCGATTGCAACGTAATAATCAACGATATAACGTCAAAATTCGCCAATACTCCAATGTAATGTGTAACGTAAACGGGTTACGCGTTTAAATAAATGAATATTTAAAAGTAAAATATGGGCCCATTCTGCAGATGTTTGAATTTTAAAGCTATATAACAATGTTTTCTTGAATAATATGATACTTGAAAGTCGATATCATTTTTGAAAGTTGAAACAAATACAGGAAACCAACATGTATCATTTGTGTAATGTTTTTAGTTGTTCAAAATGTCCGTTCATTAGTACTATGATTTCTAGATGAATATGTTATGTCGTTTGCCTGTATTCGATTTGGTGCAAGTTCTTAATCTATTTAAACAATCTGCAAAAGTTTATAGAAATTGGAGCGACAGTATTTGGGGAATTAAGATATTACTGGGTCTAGCCGTTATGTAACGGTCCGTAAAATGCGACGTTTTAAGAACAAATACCGTATTTGTGACTTTCGAATGAAATGACACATCTGGTTTTTTTAATGAAAAAACATGCATTGGCAAGTTCTCTGACTCAGCTTTTTGAAGCATAACTTAGATATATTGTTTGTCCTAACACCACTGCACAGCATTGATTTCCCCATGTCTAGCCGTCATGTAACGCTACGCTGTTTTGCGTCGAACACATTAATAAGAACGTCATTTCCTTGTTTTGTTTATGAACAAAATTTAACGTTTTTCGTGAATGTTTTATGGTTGTTTTTTACACGCAATACCAGCCAAAACATGCATACGTATTAATAATATCTCAGGGTTTCATTTTCTGTAAATTTTCTAACTAACCGTTTTCAAATGTCCGACATATTGTGTGTGAAGGATGTGGCATTTATTTAACGATTTAGTTTTTCATAATTCTTGCATAAGCAGAGTGAACGAAATAACTGGTTTAAGATGAAAAGGGTGATATTTTCTTAATGGAGAGACAAAAATATGTATAATATCGTTACTTTAAATTTGAAAACATCCCACAACATTGACAATAATTTGACGTCGATGGCTTCAAAAATAACATGTGGGGAATTGATTTTATTGCACATATTTGTAAGAAAAAAATCACTACGTGGTGAATGATGACGTTACGTCAATCACTTTTAAGGAAAACGCAGAGAGGGATATCTAATAAAGACATCAATGACTCAGCTCTATGTATTCGAAGCAAAAGATGACGAAACCGCGTGTATTTTTTTTAATTTAAAATTGTAAGGAAATGGTTGAATTGTTGTAATAGTTTTCCACATCATCTTAAGGTGTGCAAGATAAGAAATTGACCCTGTAAGACACGTCTTTTTTTCTTTCTTTTTTTTTTGCATATTTCTAAACATAACAAAAAAAAAATGTCTACAACTTTGATTTACAGTAAACAGGTACATTCGACACAAAGAAGCATTTTCCATAGGTTACTAAAGCAGGAATCTTAGAGTTAAAGTATCCCGTATGAGGTCACAATGACGTCATTCTCTTTTTGTGACGTAATACTTTGATGCGGATGCTGGTAGTTGGGTGCTTGTTCTACATGGGCGCATCAAGAATGTCGGCAGATACTAATAAGCATGCGCTATGTTTTATAATGTGAACACATGAAGACGCGTTGGTGTTTCAATTGTTGAAATTATCTGTAAATTATTTTCAAACATTGAAATCAGAATTTGGTACAACTAGTGATAATCGGGAAGCGTTACAACCCACACACACACAATATAATCGAATATTGTCACATCCTTTCACAATGATTTCAATCCAACCGACTTTTGTCACTCTCCTGTCACAATGATATCAACCCAACCGACTTTTGTCACCCTCCTGTCACAATGATATCAACCCCATCGACTATTGTCACTCTCCTGTCACAATGATATATAACCTACCGACTATTGTCACCCTTCTGTCACAATGATATATATACAGACACGGGCACGAGACAGTAATTATCTTTTTATAATTATCTATCACCTTGCCCTAGTAAACAAACGGCGTGTCCCATGTATACCCCCGCAGGGTAGGTTCGCCGCCCAGGTGTTATATACGCCCACACATTTATTGTCAGGTGTTAATATTTTATTGTTTATTAGCTTTAAGCCTTGCCAAGACAAGACAAGACAAGATTTTATTTTTTTAAACCACAATTTACATGTGATATTAAGAAAATATACAATGGGTACATTCAAGATAGAGTATGTGCTGTTTTAACCAGGAGAACAGACTCTCTCTATTACTATATTAATATATTTGCATATTTTAACTAGTAAAACTTTGTTATGTGTTGAAAAAAGTTGCTGGAATTTTAAACAGTTTGGTTGCCTGCTATAATAATTTGGAATATACAATTTTCTTTCATTTGAGAAATTTGGACAATTAAACATATAATGAAATTCATCTCCAACTTCAGTATTACACAAATGGCATATTCTATTTCTTCTCTCTATATTTAACCATCTTCCTCTTGCGGCTCATAGGCATATTATAACAACATTTATACAATGATATCAATGACATAGAATAATCCTATAGAATAATATGGATATGAATATTCTAGTCAATTACCCTTATAAAATGAAGCATAGGCATTATATGTATGGCATAATGCGATGACATTATACTATTTAAATATATCTTTAAAGTTGAAAATGGATAGTAAATATGATATGTCATTATAATTTGCAGGGGTGCACTAAAAAAACATATTTTAAGATAAGGTTAATAATCATTTTGGTAACTTGACCGTGTTGTCAGAATTGATTATAAATGGACAATATATAGTAAATCACGTAAAACCGAGTGGGAGATAGTCAATATCTTGTACAAACTTGAAATAAGTTCATAATTGTACATTATACTAAGGAATGCCGCATGTAGTTCAAAATATATACATAATAGTCATCAACGAGTTTTACATTCGAGCCTTTCATACAAAAATTAATATCCTCGGCGCACAAAGACCAATGTCCAACTTGTTACAAGTATAATTTACACCAATAATTAAGAATCATTCCATTATAGATTTTGAAACTTTGCTTATACATCATTGTTTATTATATTGATAAAAAATGACATCTATAAATACCGTTTAGTGATGCGTATTTCCGAGCGGATTTTTTGTTGCTTAGAGTATTACACAATATTTATACAAACCAGTAGCCGTATGATAATCTATAAACTTTATAAACGGACGATGCTTCGGGATATCTTCTCAAGAGTCATGATGCAAGTCGAGGAGTGCCCCGCCCCGCTCGACGCGTGCCCCGCCCCGCAATTAAAAGGCCGATAATTACCTGTGGTGCTTGCGATATGGGGGAGGGGTGACACTTATTAGATAATTACCGACAAATACCTGGTTATGTCACTGATATTGGACAGGTGCGCGACTGATGTGATAATTACCTATAACTAACTAGTTCAATCGAGCGGGGACAAATGTCACGCCTGCACTCGTTAGTTCACTCACCGTAACTCAGTACCAATTCAATTAAATTCAATTTATAACCAAATGCACATTGCATATAGGCATATAGAAATATACATATTGATCAATACTTC